AAGTGCCTTTTCTTCAAGTCAAGCATGGCCCTGGGAGAATGGCAGAGCACCGAGCCACCCCCTGCAGCGTGTCAACACGATTAATGCCCTCGCGCAAAGCGCAGAGCACACGGAAGTACTTGCGAAAGAGGCGTGCAAAGAAAATAAAAACCGCTGAACTTTACTTATCCGCAGAAGTTGTTTATTCTGGAAGTGGGACAAGGCCTTTCTGTCTTCACGGCGCCCTGCCTGCCAGCCCACTGGTAACAAAAATGGGCCCAGTAGCCAAGCGGGGACAATGAAGAGATGCTTTGATCAGTTTAGTAACCCCTTGATGGCAGAGATAATATATCGTATAACAGGTCCCTGTAAAGCAGTCACAGGTAGCAACCAGTGGAAACCCAGTCACGTGCCTGCTCCGTGGCTATTCCTGCACTCGCCGTTGTCCGCTGGAGTGACAAGTGACCGCACACCAAAGCCAATATCCTGCAAGAGAAGCCCGGGAGCTTGGCTTTACAATGCAACCCCATCCCACGCTCCGTTTTAAATCGATTTGCTCAGAACATGCTCAAAGAGCATTAGATTGCACTGAGAAAAGGAAAAATGTCCCGGGGTGGGGGGTGCACCCGAAGCACCCACCACGGGTCTCCACGGGACAGGCTGCTACGTGGAGCTTGGCTAATCCAACCTAAATATTGGTAGGTTCCTCACCTGGAGTGCTTGAATTACTGCATAAACAATAGGAGAATAAAGGCAGACCTTCAAGACAGCCCCCGGTGATTGCTATGGACGACTGAAAACCGCCGGCGCCTGCTTGGAAAGGAAGCTGATGCTACTAGAGCCACGGAGGCATTGGCAGCCTTCGTGCCTTGGAAGGTGCCCACTCAACGCATGTCATACATCTGACCTCTCCGCTAAGGGTCACCTTCTTTTGATCCGTCCAGAAAGGCGGCCAAGCAAATTAAATGCATGTACTCAAGTTACAGACCTCGTCTTACAGCAGTGCTGTATCATAGGTCACCTCTGATAATATCCCAAACCAGGACATTGCATTTGGATTTAAATCAGATGAACCTTCCTCTGCTGTAATTCACCCCAATGATGTACACAAAGCACCTGCAGTGCCTGCACCACTGCTACCCCTTAAGGGCAGGTGAGAAATGCAGCAAAATCCATTGAAACCAGGCAAAATGTGCCACATGCTACAAAGCACTTGGATACAAGTCTGCTCTGCGGTGAGAAAACGTCGTAGCCAACACGGTGCCCATGAAGACACCCACCACTGCCTTGCTGCGAGGTGCAGGTCTACAACTCCGCTGGGCATCGTCGGACAAGTGCCCTGGGCCTTTCTGTTCTGCAAACAAGAGGACTTATTCATTCATTATTTTTACTGTCCTTTGAGCTTGCATCTCTGAGGTCTACACCCCACTGACTTCAATAGGACCCATCAGCATGTATCCAGGGCAGGAGAGAGCTTGCAAGCACGTCTCACCAGCTCAACAATCCTCCTACTTGGTTCTTTGGGGAACAGAGAAAAAGGACAGGTCAGACCAGGCTAGGCTATAGGCACTTATCTAAATGTAGGGAGTTAAACTCATGCCTCATGCTCTTTGCATCTACTCCTTGGCTCAATCGTCGGCAGTCTTGCTTCTTCCAAACTCTGCCCAGCCGTCACTCGAGTAGATTTGTGAAGCTATTTTGGTGCTCCCTCGGTTATCCGCTACCGACGTGCAGGTCCAGCCCACCCTGCCCGCCCCCTGCAACGCCCAGGGCCAAATCCCCCACATTTCCAGGTCCTGCAAGCTACGGATCAAGGGTGTATTCACCAGGAGCGAATCTCAAAGGCAGTTCCTGGCATGTCTAAAATAACAGACCTGGGATTATAGAAGCAGGAGAGGCAACATCCTGCATAGCACAGACCCTGTGACGTCCACACCTTCATTCTCACTGGAACTGCAGCAGAGCTTTTAGTAAAACATCAAATCATAGATGATGAGGGTGGAAGGGACCTCAGGAGTCAAGTAGTCCAAACCCCTGCTCCAAGCAGGATCAGCCCAACTCCATCATCCCAGCCAGGGCTTTGTCTAGCCAGGTCTTCAAAACCTCCAAGGATGGAGAGTCCCCCACCTCTCTGGGGAGCCTGCTCCAGTGCTTTCCCCTTCCCCCTTCTTGCTGTCAGACTCAGGGAGCTCATGCTGCTTGGTGTTTCACTATATGGCATTTGATCCAAACTTGTCATCGTTCCCAGCTGAGCACGGTGCTCCCAAAATGCTAACCCAGTCACCATTCAGCAAGAGCAGATCTTCAGTCCTGCACCCTACCTCTGCAAGCTCCTGGGATGCTTGGTACAGGTGTATGAGAATTTACACATAACCGGTTGCTTCTGCGGCTTGCACCTATTTGTGCAAGCAGCAAACTAAGCATCCGGGAAGAGACAGGGTGGAGTCTGCACGGATAAATGCAGCTTTGCCCGTGTGTGCTGGTAGCTCCCCTGGGCTGCGGGAGGGCTGGACCTGGCGTGCGCGTGAAGACAGGCAGGGTCAGAAGCTGCTTCACAAGATGCAAGCAGCACAAGCACAACATGCAGAGCCAACGTAGCCCTGCAAACTAGCTGTCTGGCACCATTACTGAGATCCAGTCCTTCCCAACAGCCCAGAGCCCAGTCATGCTCAAGCCACGTCTCGGTGCCAGCTTACACCCAATGTGGGCATGGAACAAGGCGGCGGCAGCCTCCCCTGGGGGATTAGTACATTGTTGAAACAGGAATTACAATATCCATGTTCAAAAACATTTTTAATGGCACCGATTCTCCTCTCTGCGGTGCAAAGCTACTGATGAGCATAACAGGAGAGAACCGGGCCAAGAATATTTCTAAATATCCTGACCCTGCTCCTTTTCCAGACTCCAGCGTGTTCCCGTCCCGTGTCGTGTAACCGGCACATTTTGATGGTCACTGATGGCCTCCAGGCTTCATTCGATTCTCCTCCGATGCTGGCATAACTCCACCGGCTTTGGCAAAATGAGCGACAGTTTACACCAGTGCAAAAAGAAACACACTTTCTTAGCTTCTTTTATCCAGGACAATCCCTTGTTTTAGAGTAAAATATCACCCGTTCTGCTGCCACTGTACAGGTGGGCAGAGTAGCTGAACGCGCAGGTATGCATCGTTGTGGGTGCACAGGTGCTCTCCAGTGGCAAAGAATATTATAGCACGTCTTCAAGACCTAGCAAAGGGAGCGTCGCCCTTCAGTTTCTGGCCACCGGCATCCACGTCACCACCTTTTGAAACGTGGTGTGCTCCCGATTCTCAGATCTGCATTTGGTCAGGTCCACACGCCATTGCTACCTTGTCAGGGACAGCTGCCAGGTGTGCGCGAGGGGATCCAACTGCTTATTTCTCACACCAAAAACCTACCAGCCAGTTTCCCAAAAACGTGAACTGAATCCGTCTACACGAAGCTGAGTCGGAGCAAGTATCCTGGGGAACGCTGGAAAAGAGCACGGAGGGCACGTTTGCATGAGACACTTAATGCCCATTGGACTAATTGCACTGCACATTAGTGCAGATGGCAAAAATTGCGCGAATGCGTAGCAGATTAGTTAAGCATCACAAAAAAGTGTTCGTTTGAGCTAATGCACAGCAGCACCAATTATGGAGCATTAAGTTAGAACCTGTTATTACAGGTACTAAACTTAATCGCAGTGTAATTATGGCACATTAATGGATGTGTAGATGCACCCTGAGAAGGGAGAAAGGTTTATTAGAAGAGCTGCACAAGAAGTCAAAAGCCCGCATCGAGTGATCGGCGTGGGCTTTCCTGCACGTGGAGGGTGCTTCCATGCAATTCGAGATATCATACATCTTCTCCATATAAAACTCAGAAACACTTCCTACATTTTTCTTCAAGAGTCATCACTACCAAGTGCCATCCCTTTGCAGCAGCCCAGAGGCCCGTTACGTCACAGCCCGTGTAAAAATGCTGGTTTATGCACGGGCCAATCTCTCACAAGTTGTAGCCTCCTTCCAGAAGTGTGCAGCGTAGCGGAGCGGTGCAGGCAGGTACACACATCATTGCATGCCTCTGTGTGTGCACAGGTGCTGTCCGGTGTCATTACACTTCTTAGCAAGGGGAGCATCTCCCCCCTTCAATGTTTAATCACCAGCATTGACTCCACGACCCTTGAAAACGTGGGGCATTTAGAGACATTACATTTTGCTAAGTTTGATCTGGACTACAGCCCTCGCTATATATGCATGGATGTCTGCGGTCCGAACTCAAATTGCCTCCAGTCCGGATGAACTAATCCTCATTGAATGAGGATTAAAGTTAATGCAGACTAAAGCAGTCCAAATTTTAGGGAAAACAGTCCTTAGGAACTCAGACAAGCATTGCAAACATCAATCCTCTCAAGGGAAACTCAGTTGGGTTTTCGTAACACAACAGAGCCTTTATATCGGGCACACCTTTATAAGTGTGCCAACAGCACCGCAGGGTGACTAAGTATTAAGTCAATGGTACAGCACTTCAGATAACTGCAGCAATGTTGCACTGCTAAACAAGCTTATTATTGCCTCCTAATTACTTCCAACCTCTGCTAAGGGGCTGTCAAGTGTATAGACAGTGTACAGGCAGTGCCCCCTGCCATGAGGGTCAATGATGGTCTATTGACCCTTAATTCAAATTGCAATTTGCGGGAACTGTGCGATGCAACAAACCAGTTAACACAGTTTAGAAAATGAAATGCTGAGCATGCGTACAAGCGACCACGGCAAGCTCCTAATTCTCTCCCTCAGCTTCACATTAGTCAGGTAGAGGCGCCATTGCTACGTTATCAAGGACACCTACTCCGTGCATCCATTTTCTGGCAAACACGAGTGGGACAAACTGCTGCTTTCTCACACTAGTATCCCATGTGCTTGTTCTCAAAAACTTAGCTGAGTCCTGCCATGGTAAAAAGGGCCGAGCAAACACCCTGGGGACCATTAGAGAAGAGGACGGGTCAAGTGCGGAGAAGGCAGAAATGTTTATTAGAGGAGTTACACAAGAAGTCAAACGCGGCTGTCCATCCCTCAGCTCGTGGTCCTGATACAAACTCCCTCGATTAGCGAGGGGGGAAAACTCCCTGCAGCAAGAATGTGTTTTCTTCTCACTAAACCTAGCGCACTTCCCCCTATGTAAAACTTAATCCAGTTTTCCTCAAGGCACTAGATTTTCACAGCTTGGCCCCCTCACCTCGCACACAGCTACCGAAACCCCTATCACACAAGCCGCAGGAAGTCAACCAACTAGATATATTCGTGCATCCTCTCACCGACCCACTGCTTGATTCTGAAGATGCCTTTTAGTAATTACACGTGCAAATTAGGTCTAAACTGTCTGAAAATCTAACCAAACTTTTTCTAATCAAATTTAGAAAAGACTAAGAGAGAGAAAGGGTAATGTCAGATGAAGTGTGCCTTTCCGGTGTTTCTTTCTTCTGCCAGTCGTGTACTGAGAAAGACCTCTTCATGCTTTGGGCTTTCCAGCTCACACATACAACATGAGCAGGTCCTGAGAAATATTAGAAAGGGACAGGTTTAAGTTATTTCCTGAATAAAATTCCCCCTTTCCACAAGCATCTTTTCCTCTCTGGAAACTGCTAGCCAACTTCTGCTGGTCCAAGGCTTTCATAACATTTTGGGAGAGAAAATCCCCTGCCCCATTCAAATGCAACACCAGTTTGACAATGCTGCTCATTGCAGGAAATCGCTGTCCTGGGGATGCTGGAGTCAGCGAGCTGATTAGGAAGCTCCCTTCCAACCTTAAAACTCCTGGCATGAGGAAAGGCACGGCTATATGCCCGGTGACGAGGCCAAGGAGCAGGCTGCTAAAAATGCCTGCGAGGAAGAGTCTGCTCTGGACTGCCCAGGTGCTTACCTCCAAACTTTGAACGGCAGCCCCAGTAAAGTCGATGTCCATCAGTTTTGGGAGCGGGATGCCAACACGCAGAGCCTCTGCAACACACAAAAGGGAGGTTACTTCATGCAGCGGGATCCACATCCTACTCCAAGCCTCTAGTTTAACCATCAAAACTGCAGGGAAGGGAGTACAGCTCATTTGCACAACAAAAACGTGTGCAGGAGCATGGTACTCTCGCGCTCTCTCTCCTTTTTGCAGCTGCAAGGGAAGGTAGAAGAAACTCCAGATTAGCTAGTGCCAGCTATCTCCCTCATCACCCATACGACTGAAGCAGGAAACAGCCATCATTTCATCAAGCACATCTCTCTAGCAGCTGTCAGCCTGAGCCACGTTTCGTGCCAAGTCTACAAAAAACCACGGTCATTGTGAGGGTGAAACGAGCAGCGAGACGTTAGGTACGTCTGGGCTTTGGCTAAGCCGAGTGCAGCGAGGACAATCCCAGCGGCCGTACCATTGAGGGGTGGCACGTATGCTCCCTCCAGCAGGATGTGCATCGGCCGCACGAGATCGGAGACCTGAAACAGAGAAGCAAGGATGCAAACACGGTTGATGGGCACAGGACGGAAGCAGATGCCCACGACCGGCACGGAGAACTCGGTTCCCACCCGAGGCAGTGGACGGGGAGCACACGTACAAACCATGGTGCCCTAAGTTTTCATCCCACCTTCGTCAGGTAGAAGAGTCCTTGAACTGCCCCCCTCGCCCCAAGATACAAGGAGCAGCATTTGGCCGCTTTGTCCAGGGATGCAGCAGCTCTCTGCCCCGACAGCACATCTCGCAGACCGGGGAAAAGGCACTTACGTGGACGATGCCGACGTCGGACGATTCCAAGACGAGAGCAACGCTGCAGGAAGAGGAAGCAAGCGACCCCTCGTCAGACATCCCCTCCTCCGCCCTGCTCTCAGACATGCACGAGCACAAGGCTAGGAAGGACCACCAGGATCGTCTAGTCTGATTTTCTCTCGAACACAGGTCATAAAACAACCCCAAATTAATTCCTGTGTGAACTAAGGCATCTCTTTTAGGGAAAAAAAAATCCTGATTTAAAGATGGCCAGATATGGAGAACCCGCTCTGGCCCTGGATGTGTTGTTTCCATACCCGGTCAGCCTCACTGTTGAAAATGGGACCTCTATTTCAAGTCTTTAATCATCTTCTTTCTACTTCTAGCCATCGTATCTCATAGACCATGGCTAAATAGAAGAGCCCTCTATCAAAAAACAGCCATTCCTTCATATTCGGGAGATGTTATCTAGTTACTCCTTCGCCGGTCCTATGCAAACCTGCAATAGATTGAGCTCAGGTGTCTTTCACTTTGAAGTCTAATTTCCAATTTCTAAATCTTTCGGTCCATAATGACTGGCATTAATTATATCATCCTTCTTGAAAGTCCTTTATTTAACCACTGGGATATTCATTCCAGGAGCAAAGCCAGGCTGACAGACCTACAATTACCCAAATCATCTCATTAGCCACTTCTATATGTTGATACAGCTACAGCGCTGTGTTCCCGGTCTCGTGAAACTCTCGTATTGTTTCAAGGCTCAGTGTAAATCTATATTAACCGTCCCCAGAGATCTTCATCCAGGACTTCTACAATTCTCAGTGAAAAAAATTCCCAAGCCTTTAAAAGTCTTATCCGGACCTGCCGAGTGCAAAATATTGAACTTAACTTTAGCAGCAGCTACTCAACGTCCTCCTGCTGCAATCGAAAGGATATCGCCTTGCTACATGGCAAGATCATTTGACCTTTATTTTTGCCCAGAAAACAGAATACAAATATGTGCTGGACACTGGTGACCATTCTGCCGCTGCCGTGCAAGCAGGGACTGCAAGAACTACGAGGGTTTTGTCCACTACTGCTGGACTTACACCCCACCTTGCTGACCTTTACTCTTCTGGCTACCGATTTCCAGAGGCGCCAAGTGAGCGCCCACAGCTCCCTTGGAGAAGCCAGGCCTGTGAACTGTGCTGCGTACTTCGATCCCTGCTCCATCTCCTGGAAACTGCCCTGTCAATAGTCACCGACGCACAGCGACGCCAGATACCTGTCCAGGGACGCTTCGAACAGCAGGTGGTTGTCGCTGACGGAGATGCCGGCGTTCAAAGCGAGATCCTGCAATCGGACACAAGAGACGGGGTCAGTCTGGGGAAGCTCGTCTGCCTTTCACTCAGCGGGGTCCGGACGGCGCTCGTCCTAGCGATGCTTACCGCCTTCAGGGCGAGGACGGTCAGGACGGTGCCATCGGTGAGATTAGTGAACACCAGGATGCGGACAGGGAGCTTGACGGTGGCTTTGTTTGCTTCTAGAGCAATGAGGGGAGCTCCAGCCTCTGTTATCGCAATGCTCAGAGGCGTCGACACCGGGCAGCGGGAACACTGTTGGTTTGGAGACACGAGGCAAAGCATGAACTGAAGGAGGAATGGGCAAGGGGCAGCAGCCTTTGGACACAACGGGGTCCCAGGGCTCACGGCAGACAGATCTGAGACCTGGACCCGCACATCCCTATCGCTCCTCAGGGCCTTTTCAGAGAGCAAGGAGTCTGGGCTCTGCTGCATCTTACATGCAAACTCTTCAGCTGGGTGCAGAGTCCCCGTGGTGGCTATTAGGTTGCAGACCAACCCTCCTGGGAAAGCTGAAGGGCTTTCTTCTTGTTATCTGCATTCAGCAACAAAAAGGGTTCTTGCCAAGGGACAAGGGAGGTGTGCTTTCACTGCACGCCAGCCACCAAGGCTGCTATCACCCGACCCTTCGTGGAAGCCACATGCCGAGGTCTCCTCGTGCAAACAGGTGTTGTGCAGCACCGGCTGCAGACCCATCCTGAAGATGACCCTGTGCCACAGGGCCACTGAGGCAGAAACCCCCTGGCCCACCCTATCACAGTGGTACCAGGCACCCTTGGGGGATGAGGTTGGAGCCAAGGGAGACCACATCGAAGGACTGTGAGGGAGCGCCCATCTCGGGCAGACTCCTAGCTGGCCTGCCCAGGCTGCGCACGGTGCCTTAGCTCAGGGAGCCTGCACGGGGATGAGATTTGCAGAGACCCATTGGGCAATGCAACACGCTGGCAGGCCAACACATCACTCACCCCAGGAGGAATCAGAGCCAGGATGGCATCCGTGAGCTGCAGGGCCTCGGAGACCTGTTAACACAGGAGAGCATCTGGCTCAATGCAACAGGCTTGGGCAATACGAGCGCTACCGTCTCATAGCGACCTACGAGGCCAGTCCTGAAGCCTTCATTCACCTCGGTTTCCATCTGACACCCGTACAAGCTTTGGGCACGCACGAAGACCGCCGTGTAGACGCCTCACACCGGCGTGGCTGGAAATGCCCTACGTTGGGTTCGAGCCACTGCAGTACTCACCGCGTCAGGGCTGAAGGCAAACACCTGGCGCTGGATCTGGGTTAGCATGGGCAGCACGGTGTTCAGGAAAGCCTCCGTCAGCCCCAGGTTTAGCACGTTGCCCCGCAGCGGAGGCAGGGCAGCGGGGGCAGAGCCGGCTGGGGGGGCGACTCTGCCTCCTTGCGCTGGCTGCACCACAGTCTGGAAAGAGAGATGGGACAAGGTAACGCCGGCCCTTTACGACGAGACTCACGCGACCGAGCTTGATGCCGCTGGGTTTACACCACTTCTGTGCATCCTCCTCTCTTCTGGTGCTTCCCTAACCCAGCAGATCTGTGCCCTCCACACGTCCCTTCATCTTGAATTCAAAACATTTCTTGTTAAACTCTAGCAGGATGAACAACTATGGGTTCCCCGACTCTGCGGAGTGGATCCCAAATCTTAATCATGTATTTCACACACTTCCTGCATCTCCCGGAGTCTGTTCCTGAGCAAATCAAACGGTGGAGATCTCAAGAGCTGGCGGTGCAGCGATTGCATGCTATCACGCACTCAAAGTCTGCAAGCTATATCCATCCCACCTCGTTACTCTTCACACACGCTAACGAACCCTGGCATCCAGGACATGCCGGTCTTTAGTCAGATACCTGTGGTCACGTACAGGAGAAGAGACTCGCATCCGGACGGGCTGTTTTTATGTATTCTTTGCTACTCTTATCCCTTGCTACGAAAATCAAACATTTAGCTGACAACTCATATCCCATAGATAAAAACAGAAGCCATAATCAGCCTGCCAGGGGTGGATACAAATTGCTTCTCCAGCTTCTGGGGAACCATTGCAAATTGTAAATGCGTTGCAAGGATCAGGATACGCTGGTGAAAGATTCCTGCGAAGAGATGGCCAAGACCCTGATCCAAGCATGCCCTGAGACCAAGGGGACTCATTCCCACCACGGGATGGTTTGTGGAGCAGTCCTGCATTTGCAACTAGTATTTTTCACAACAAGTTACTAACCCCGCTCCCCTCGGCTACCCTGAGCAGGCCGATCTCCATCAACGCCGCGTAAACGGCTATCGCTGAGGGCAAGGATGCTCCCCCAGGGACGCTCTGCTCCAGGGAAAGACCTCCACACACCAGCCCAGCACAGACTCAGGGGCTCGCCTTGTAAAGCCAACACTTACACTCAAATCCAGACGAGTGTGTTGCTTGAAAAGCAGGGGAAGGCTGGCCAGCTGATACTCGATCGACCCGACTGCACCAACCTGGAGTACCACTGCACGAGAAGCAAGGATCATCGAGATACCCGCACTCAAGGGGCCACCCAGGTGCCTTCTCTGCCCAAATCCTACTGGTCTGAGGGCATTGCTGCAGCCGGGTAACAAGGGCGCGTTGGCAGTTCAGGAATAGTGATTCTGGCTCAACTATTCCTGAAGCGCCCTGCAGAGAGGCCGGTCCGAACTCACCCAGCCCGGCACTGGAAAAGGAGAGTGCAATAGGAAACACAGCTCCCATGAGGTTGGAAGAAGGGCAGACTCTACCTCACTCCCTTTTCTAGGCTTCGCTGGCACTCCCACCGAGATCCCTTCTCATGCCGCTCCCAGCTCCTGCACCCTGTCTCCTGATACCCCTCTTAAACACCGTCTTTGAGCTGGGCTGCGTGCCCTCTAGACATGACCGAGCCCTGAAAGAGGTGCAACTTCCAGACAGGATGGGTTATGGCAGCATAAAAAACGAGCGCTCCAGGGGCTGGGATTATGGGAAAGGAGAGATGACAAGGGAGCGTCCGTGAGGAACATACCGTTCACAGTGGACTCCATATGCGTCTTCACAAAGTTGAAGACAGTGTAAAGGACTGGACACAGCTGTAACACAAAGCAGAGGTGAGCTCTCAGAGCCCAGCCCTTCTCCACGTGTGCACCACAAGCCCTGCATCATGCCCGGGGCAAACCCATCCGTGCCCACGGCAATCCCCAGGGAATGAGGAGCCACATAACACAAGGGCTGCAGCACCCAGGCCTTTGGGAGGAAGCCTGCAGCCACAGGGAGTGCTTTTCCTGATGAGTTACATTGACTGCATCTGCTTCTGGTCTCATCAATATTTAATCCTTGCCCTTGTAGGATCCCAGCAGCAGGCAGCCTGCCTGCCAGCTGTCTCTGCCCAGCACAAGATGGGACACTCGAACAGCAGAGACAGGGACAGGAACGCCCCGTCCCGCTGCAACAAACTGGCTGCGACAGCGCTGGGCCGTGATGAGGAGGAGCAGCTCCCGGCACGTCCCATCAATACGTTGGCAACAGGACATGTGCCGTCTGCCGCTCCCTACCTGCCCGGCGGGAGCTGCCAAGCTTCGGGCTTACCAGGGAAGGCAGCGTATTCCTCAGGGTGCTGGACACCAAGTTGTTCACCAACACAGGCAGTAACCTGTGAGAAATGGAAAACCAAACGTGAGCGCAGAATGAGACAAAAATGGCCAAAACGACCATCTCGTGACGGCATCCGGGGAGACCGGAGCAGAGGAGAGATTCAGCATCCGAGGTAGTTTCAGCCGCTGATTGAAATACAGCTGAATCAGGCCATCCCTGCAATCGCTGCTGCAATGCGAGACAGGCCAGAACTGCGGTCATTGCAAAACCTGAAGTCTGAGCGCTTTTCTTTCTGCGCGTGAAGTTGATGAGCTGGATCGGGCAGGGGTCAGCTGACCGCGTGTGGATTTATTCCTCCAGCCTCCACACAAGCGATGCTGTTGTAGGAGCTGGGTAATTACTCAGACATCTCTGCTTCAGTATTGCATACGGGGCTGGGCTAGGACCCTTTCTGCACGTGGATGAACTTGAGGGGAACACTACAAGGCAGCTTTTACAACCGCCTCCCTGGACGCCGTCGCCCTAAGGGCTCTGTAGGACCATCTGGCATTTGTATTCAGTACTTCTGTAATTTTGCCTTTGCAACTCAGAGCAGCATTTCCAACAGGAGCAAGGTAGTCCGAATCCATAAGGGTCTCTTTTCCCCACTTAGAGTTAATTTTTATGCAGGGCTGCATGGACATGACTCCTGCATAGTCCATGGGATTTGCACATGGAGATCTGAGAGTAAGCCAAGACCCCCATGGCCAGCCTCCAGCCTCAATTAGCATCACGCACCTTTCGGGGCTTGCATAACCAGCACCCGGGCCACGGGGAGCGCTCCCTCCTCGGCATGCAGAGCCCCCTCGGCACTAGCAACAGCGCCCTGAGGTTTGCCAGCTCTGCCTCTACAAGCACTTGAGTGAAGCCTTCCAGATACACCACCACGTCCGCTACGCAAAGGGGGCGGAGGGTGCAAAGATCCTGCGCATGAAACGAATGAGGGAGCAGCCAGCGAAGCCGAAAGGCGAGAGATTCAAAACAAAAATCTCCCGACGGATCTAGAGAGGGATGGGAACAAGTGTCAGAGCATCCTCGGGTTGAAAGGGCTGGAAACCCACGACACCTACCCAGAGAGGAGGCTGATGTCGATGGAGACAAGAACGAAGTGGCAGTCTTCAAAGACGACTTGGTAGGTGCCTGATGAGTAGTCCGCAATCCTGAGTTTTACTGTGATGTTCACTGCCGCGAAGATGTCGATTGGTTCAGGAACGGCGCCAAACGAACTAAACAAACACGCTTGGGTTAAAACGATCTCGTCTCCCAGCATCACTGGCATAAGTGTCGTCTCAAAGACAGCCCTTCTGCCACCAAACGAGCAGACCCTCACACCTTCCTCGACTGCCATTCACCCCAGACTCTAAAAATCACCGTGCCCCCACCACTGCTAACACGTTACTGCCATTAGAGCCATGCAAGCACTCCACGTGCTACAAAGCACATGGATACAGGTCTGCTTTACAGCGGGGAAACTGCACGGCCAAGGGAGCATGCTGAAAACATCCACCTCTGCCTGCTGCCCGGGTGCACGCCGACAGCGCGGCAGGAAAAATGCACCGGGCCTTTCTGTTCTGACTCCAAACCCGAGTACATGGAGCAGGTGCAAAGGATTTCCCCACCGGAGGGTTTTTGAACGTTGCTGTCTTTTGAGTGATGGGTCTACAAATCTGCACACAACGCGTGTTCTCCTGGCGGCAGGTTTCTAAGTATGAAACCGTTTGTGAAACGAGCATCCGAATGCACCTGGTTGTGCCCTCAGAGGCAGAGACACGGCCTCACTGCCACCGCTAGGAACCAGCAACGTGGAGTCAAGGCCAGGCTACGGCCTGCTGCTCTTCCCAGCAGGACTCCTCCAGAAGGACATCCGGCAGCTTAGCATCACCCGCAAGTGTGAACGTTCGAGAGCGTTCACACCCCACTACTCACTAGTCACCCTGGATTTCTAGCTTGGTGTAGACTCTCACACGGCACTCAACACTAGACAGCAGCTCTAGTGACACGACGGGAAGCCGCACATCGACAATACGCAATCTGCAGAGCAGAAGCAAAAGGGGTTAGAAGGGGGAAAAGGCCTGGCGGGGGGCTTGGCCGTTGCACCAACTCAAGAACTCAAATTGTTGGTGCAACGATTTGTGCCTGTGATATCCTTGCAAGTAATTGCAGGAACCTGCTCATGGGCGATGCACAAGCAGCCTGAAGCAAGGAGCCAAGGGACAAACCTCTTCTTCTGTAAGCTCGGCTCTGGAGCCAACATAAACCTAGCCCCCGGTCCATGCTGGCTAACCAGGAGAGCCCCTGTAGCTCTATGGTGCACTGCAGAGACATTACTTCAGTGCTGCAACCCGTACCGCCGCGCAGAAACTCCCGTTTCATGCAGCAATATTTTTGTCGCGCTACAAGAGGCATGCACATCTGCCTCCTCGATGCTTGTAGCACCATCAGTGTAACATCTGGGCTCAGAGCACAGGCCAACGCCACCTTATTTCATTGAACTGGGCCTTTAGCCAGGAGCATCTCTTGCTAACAGTGATAACAAACTATTTTGTCCTCAGGAACTGCAGGACCAGACCGCAGCTGATTGAACTGTGGTCACAATTTTAATTTCACGGCGGCCGGCACAAGTCCCCACAGGCCCGGGTCCAGCTGGGCGTTTGGCACGGCAGGCCAGCTGCTTCTCTGGTGAATCAGCATCAAGCTCCGTCACAGAGAGGACAGCCGGCGGCATGGAAGAGTAGCCCACGGAGGGATTTGCTTCCTCTCTGGCTATTCATTTGAGCCCGAGCCCTGAGGCCACAGGCATCAGGGGAACGAACCCCGTCAACTTCAAGGGGCTTTGAATTTGAGGACCTCCAGCCAAAGCCTACAACACTGCTCTCCACTTACCCAGTTATCTTTAAAAGTGCGCTGAGCAGGCTCCCTTCCCTCACGATGTTTGGGATCTCGATGGCCTTGAGATTCTCCAGGAGAAGTCCATCCTTGACCAGGGTCTCTGTAATAACTGGAACACGTCTGCTCAATGAGACTAGGTATCTTTGGCAGCGGCACCTACTCGCACGAGACGCACGGCATGACCCAGCACTTGCAGGACAGGCAGAAAACCTAGCAGCATTGCACTGGCGAACTACACGGGGCACCACGTGCTGCGGCACGGACTGAACCGATGCAGCCCTTGGCTAACCAGTCTGCAAAGCTACCCGCAGACAGCAGCCCCTGCCACTCCCATTCGAACAGGATTGCACCGGGACGGGGGAGCAGAGTCACTCCTGCTCCCGCTTGTGCCAGAGGAGCACCGCTTCGTGCACGGCCGAGACCAAGTGGGGCAGAGCCGCAGCTTCCACGCAGCAGCTCCGCGACCTGCTCGGGAAGCCCCAGAGCCAGCCACTTCCCTTCTCCTCATTAGGGGAAATACCGCGACCACTAAGGTGGTTTTGGGTCTGGACTAAAGGACTACGCTTTGGGTAGGTGAGGGTGGAGGAAGGGTGCGCAGAGGATTGAGTGCATTTATTGCAACGGGAAGCACCGGTTTCTTAATGCATATTTAAGATGTGTGATGGAAAGCTTATGACCGATAGATAGATAGATAGATAGATAGATAGATAGATAGATAGATATTTTAATTAAAAAAGTTTTCCCAGTTGTTGGGGATAACCGCATTTCTGGCATGGGGAGGCAATGTATAGTTAACCTCCCACTTTCATATCCAGCGGGAAGATCTCGGCTTTACGCCCACTTCATGGCAATGGGAGACTCCTCCCTAGCTTGCTCCTGCAGCCGTACGGCTGAGGGCGAGTGAAATTTGGGGGCATCCAAACCACAAGTCTCCAGGCTTGGGCTTGCACGTAGGATGCCCACCAAATTATTTGGATGCATCTGAAGCCCCAGGCGGGGCAGAGGATGTTGGCGGGCAGTAGGGCCACTTATGGCTCTCGCCTGACTCATGGATTTGGAATCGATTTGGCTCGGGATACGAAAAATGTTCCTTATAAAAAAAATAAAAAAAAACAGAGAGGCAAAAGCAGACCGGGCCGCTGACCCCAGAGGGCTGCACTGCGCGATGCTCGGGGGATTCCCTAGGAGCCCGGGGACCTCAGTAATGGCCTTCGGGTCGCTGGCCCCCGGGGTCTGAGGAGTCAGGACAGCAAGAGGAGGCTGGAACAGACGTGCAACAGAGACAAAACAGTGACACGGAATAAGACAGGGGTTTATTCCTTCTCATCATCCCATAGAGCTTGCAGTATGAACATGACCCCTGGCTTTCTACGTACAATTTACAGTTTCCCCTCGACTGACAAGAAAGCTGACACCAGGATCCGGTCCCTGCACTGGGGTCAGCAGGCCGCAGAAGAGGACAATCCCCAAAAGCTTCAACATCTTCAGGTGTGATGCCTGCAGAGAAAACCAACCTCCGTTAGGCAGCCCAGCATCCGAGCACAGCAGAGGAGGGAGGCCCCGGCCCCGGCTGAGAGGTCTGATGCCTTAATAAAAGCACGGGCTGAATCCTGAAGATTTTAACTCGGTCCTTTCTCAGGTACAAGTTTCACCTTTGCCCATGGGAATTTCACGTGTGCACAGGATTAGGAAAAGCCAAGCAGAAATTTCAGGCTTCGGCCCAAAACAAGGATTTTCCCACGATGCTCTGCTTCTCCCAAAGCCGGGTAGCAGAGGTGTGACAACAGGCAATGAAGCCGCCTTTTATTTTTCCCCCCTTAACATTTTCAAAACCGATAAAATAACCCTAAAAAAGCAACAGTGAAGAAGCATTTATGCAAAATACAGCCAGGCAGGGTAGCAGCATGGGGAAGGAGTGAAAAGTCACCAAATTAAACATCTTTAGCATCAAAATGAATATTCACGTTGTTCCAGGATGACGCATGTATGACCACTCTCTCTCATTTAAAAATCGTTTCCATTGCACGCGGCAACGGAGCCAGGCAGGTAGCAGCGGGAATGTTATTACCTTTATCAACTCTGGAAACTTCTCCCTTCGGCTCCGAGTCCGTAGCAAAGCACAGCTCCGTCTCCTTGTTGCCCTCTTTTTCTCTGGTGCCAAGATGCAGCACACAATCCTTTTATAATCCACATTGATTTAGGAATGAGGATATTTCTGCAACAGGGTGGGGGTTGAGAAGAAGCAATTTTTTTTTTGTTACTTCCTCCCAACACAATTGCAAAAAATTAAGACTTGTGAACATCCTTGCACAACAGGTCATTGCAATCAACCTGCTGGGGCAGGGGCAGGACAGCCACGCAACACGTTTGAGCGCACTCTCGCCTTGCTGAGATGAGGACAGAAACACAGAGGACGCGAGGGTCACCCGCTGGTTGCAGGACGGACCGAGAGGGCTTCACTAGGACCCCGGCATGGCAGATAGCTGATGTGAGACATTCATCAAGCGCGGCTGAAACCAAGATCTCAGACCTGCTCCTGACGGGGAAAAAAGTTCAATGTCAACCCAGAATTTTTAAGACAAATGTCCTGAGCTTCATTTCATAGTAGATACACAAGGGTGTTCACTCATGCAGAGGGGCCAGCTGCTGAGCTGCTGCTTCAGGCGCTCCAGTGCAAGATTTCACAGAAAGATGCAATCTCTCAGCGCAGACCTGGTGACTTCTGTGAGTGTGCACGTACGAGTGCACAGGAGCAGACGCTGCAGAGGCCGGTGGGTCCTCTGCCTTGGAAGGGGGGACGAGGGGCGTGCTTGCAGCTACTGTGCATGTTAAGATGCTGCGACCTGTATATGAAAGGTAGACTCACAGACAGTGAGGGTGGGAAGGGACCTCAGACATCTAGTCCGACCCCTGCTCCAAGCAGGACCAGCCCCACCGACATCATCCCAGCCAGGGCTTTGTCTACCCGGGTCTTAAACACCTCCAAGGATGGAGACTCCACCACCGCTCTGGGTGACCTGTTCACAGCAACCTCCAGCTAAGCCAACAGGCCCATAGGAAAGCAGGTGGCTTTCACCCTTGGAGCCAGGTGAGAAGTCAAAAGGGCACATTAAAGACTGGCAGCAGGCAGGGTCACATACTCGGCAGGGCATTGGTCTGCGCCAACGACCAAGGTACATGGCATCTGTGAGGCTTTATCTGGACCGGTGCGTTCAGCTCCCGGTGCGCACGTGCAACAGAGATGAGTTCGACAGACTTGGAGCCGCTCGCACGCCCGGGGCAACGGCGAGCCTCCCTCGCCAGCGGAGGCTGCCAGCCCGGGTTGCCAAGGCTTGGCAAGCCAGGGCTGAGAGGGGCTCCACCATTACATTGCCACCAAGGAAGGAGCGGAGCAGCTGAAGCCAACAGGCAAGGCTGGCACAAGAGAGGATGGGGGTAGAGAGTGAATGCATTCAGGCTGGAAATGAGAAGGCAGTTTCGAGCATGAGAAGAGGGATATTGTGGAACAACGTCTGCTGGAGGGAGTCCAGCACAGGGGGCTGGGGCACACGATTTATGAGGAGAGGCCGAGGGAAATGGGCTGATTTAGTCTGCAGAAGAGAAGACCGAGGGGGGATTTGATAGCAGCCTTCACCTCCGAAACATTTGGACGCTTATCTTGCTGGGATCCTTGGATCCGAGCTGACTTCCTGCCCTGGGGCTCGGGGCTGGACTCGGTGATCTTCCAAGGTCCCTTCCAGCCCTTGACATCTATGAACTCCCTGCAGGGGGGCTGCAAAGAGGATGGAGCTGGGCTGCTCTCAGTGGGGGCAGATACAGGACAAGGAGCAATGGGCTCCAGCTGCAGCAAGGCAAGTTGAGGATGGATATTAGGAAAAATTCTCTCCCTAGGAGGGTGAAGCGCTGGAACAGGCTCCCTGGGGAGGTGGTGGGATCTCCATCCTTGGAGGTTTTGAAGACCCAATTAGACAAAGCCCTGGCTGGGATGATGCAGTTGGGGCTGGTCCTGCTTGAAGCAGGGGGTTGGACTGGATGTGACCTCCTGAGCTCCCTTCCAGCCCCCGTTGCCTGTGATTTTATGAATAATTGCCCCTGAGGAGCAGAAGAGCAAGTCGCCTGGGCAATCTTCAGATAATAATGATGATTGTTCTTGTTATTATTACTACTACTATTATTTAGCACTTAGAGGCCCTTAGCTGCTTCCACCGTCTCCATCCATTCCCGACCGTGCGCGCCTCGGTCCCCAGTTGCCCACCTGCAATTTCTGCAGGTCTGACACGACATCGTCTAGCCATCTTCATGGTGGCGGCGCAGGCGGCCTTCTCCTCCCCGGGCCACAGACAAGCTCTTTCTTCAGTGTCGGGATCACTTTCTTTCTTTCGACACGGCCCAGCCACGGTAATCGCCGTGCTCCGATTCCCTGCGTCCGGACCGGGGCTCTGTATGATCAACACGGTCATTACTGGCCAGTCCCCAGATGACCTTGATAAGCTCATGAATAAGATCCCACAACGTGGCCGGAGCCTGTGATCACGGGAACCAGACTGAACTGCCGGTCCTGCGTTTTTAAGTCACAAATGGTATGCTACTTTATACCAGTTTACAGTTTATACCAGTTAATACCAAAGGATTAGCTTCCACCTCTGACTTCCTTCCAGGATAACCATCAATTGTCAAGTGACCTTAAACCATTGATGGGAAGGACAACATGTAAATCGAATAATAAATAGGGATGTCCTGTTTACACAAGGCGGGAGGGTTGCTCAGACATAGGAGCAATTCTATTTCCTCTCAATTTTGTATAAACTCTGCTTTGTTTGGAGTCCCTTCAAGCCTGGGCTGCCCGCAGCGACACGGCCCATGCGCACAGAGGATGGTCCTGAGTAACGGGGGGAGCGGACAGGCGAGAAGAAGGGATAGGAAAAGACCGGACCCAGAGCGTCTAGTGCAAAGACAGAAGCCAAAAATTACCCAGGCCTTAAAGATGCTGCCCAGAAATTGCCTGAAGTCTTGGTTTGAACGTAGCCCGGGCCGCCCAACAGAGAGCAAAGGGCGCAAGAGACTGAGGAACGGCGACGCGCCAGAACGGAGACACCCAGGCCCGAGCCGGGCTACAGAAAAGCTCCACGACACGGAGAGCAGGAACAAGGACAGTAACTCGCGGCACAATGAGGCCTTTACTAAAGCTACGGACCCAACAGCCAAACTCCATCATCCATCACCCCTTCGCGTCTGAGCATTGCGCTCGTCTGCTGGATCCCGGCCTCTTCCAAACGCTGCCCAGGTGTCTCCGGGACCGATCCAGACCACCTGGTTTTCCTGCCGACTGATTTGCTCTTAATTGTTTTGATGGCCTTAAAAAATACCTGCCTCCCCAGACACGCACCCCTCTCTCCCTTCTCCACGTCCTAACTAGGGAAGGGTTTCTTCAAGGCCACGGAGTCACCACAAGTATTCAAGGAGAATTCTCCACGGGACCTTAGACACCAGACAAGAGGATTTGGGGGGGGCGTTTGGGTTTTTTGGGGGTGGGATTGTTACATGCCTGGTAAAGTCATAGATTGCGAGGGACCTCACAAGGTCACCGTGTCCAGCCCCTTGCACCCAGCAGGAAGGACAACGAGGGTCAAGTGACCCCAGCGAGGTGCCCGTCCAGTCTCCTCTTGAAGCTTTCCACGGTTGGCGATTGCACCAGCTCTGGAGGGAGCCGATTCCAGTCTGGACACCCTGACCGAGACTAAGTTTTTCCTAATGTTGAGCCTGAATCGGTCTTCCAGGACGTTGTGGCCATTACTCCTGGTTTTCCACTTGGGTGCCCAGGTTCACCGAGCCCTTGACGTCTGCCCCGGATGTAGCGGTAAACCGCTATCAAGTCCCCTCTCAGCGGTCTCTTTTTCAGGATGAAGAGTCCCAGGCCTCTCAGCCTTTCCTCGTATGGCTTGCCATGCGAGCCTCTAATCGTACGGGTGGCCTTTCTCTGGACTCTCTCGAGCTTGCCCACGTCCTTGTTGAAGCGCGGTGCCCAGGACTGGACGCAGTCCTCCAGCTGCGGTCTCACCAGTGCAGAGCATCACCTCCTTGGCGTTGCTGGCGATGCATCGATTGATGCACGCCACGGTATTCTTTGCCCTGCTGGCTGCAGCATCGCACTGCCAGGTCATGTTCACACCGTGGTCTATTATTACCCCCACATCCCTTTCATTTGTGGTCAGTTTTTATAAATATGCAAAACTGATCTTCAGCTATTTAAGGCAGGCAACTGTATACCCAATGTACACTTGCAATTGGGTAATCAATTAACTAGACGGTGAAATATGCACGCAAGGTCATCGGGCAGTTAAATGGCTAGGTAGATGCATTTGTGCACATCTCACCTGACGTGTATCCATGCCCTAAGACCAGAAGCAAACATGAATTCAGTGTAATGCTGTGTTTCATACGTTGTTAGACTCTTCTCGTTAGGCAGGTTTTTCCTTTTTTGCTCTCCTTCATCCTGC